GAGAGAGAGAGAGAGAGAGAGAGAGAGAGAGAGAGAGAGAGAGAGAGAGATAGATAGATAGATAGATAGATTTAGGAAAAAGTAAAATAGGAGGTGAAGAGCAAGTGAAAATTTCCATAATGCTGCTTCAATAAGAAGACTAAGAAGTACTGGGGTCCTGGTACATTCTTCAGTCTTAGAGGAGCCTAAAGGCAGTACCTGAGCCGTTCCTCAGCCATCACCCATACGCAGCAGACATATTCCAGTCAGAGGTGGGATAGCCAGTGTTGAAATCTAATTGTTTATTCTCGAAAGCCACAGTGTGCTCTGGACTAGATTTGGTCTCACAGTGGAAATGGGACCACTGGGACACACTGGGATCCAGGGATGGGTTGATGGGGACCACCGAAAGAAAAGGGGGCTCAGACCTGTCTGGACTTGGGAGCTTGCATAGGGGCTGGTTTTGATTGTGCCTGCTGCACAGACACAGGCTGGGGCAGGAGGATTGTAAGTTGGAGGCCAGCCTATAGTGTACAGTGAAAGCATGTATCCAGTTTAATGTGGTGCAGGTGTACTACACTTGCAGACAGACTTTGATGGCTGAAGATGATGCAGGACCTAAAATAGAAATGCTTGCAAAGACGTAGTTTGTATAGAGAAAGGATGCAACATTGAAACAACATGCCGGCTGGATCTGGGGAGGTCGGCAGAGCTGCCACAGCTGACAGGGCATACTAGACCCTATGTTCTACACTGTGGATATTATACTGGCATGGTCTTATCTATAGCCAGCACCTATAGCTGGTCCCTTGGGGTCTAACTGAGACTAGCTGACAGCCATCACCATCGCTTCAGCAGTAAATGCTGACCGTAGGGGTGTGTGCTTGTGTGTGCTGCTTATACTTGCCTTTGTAGGAAGTGGCCAGGCCCTTGCATGCCTGCTGAGACCTCTCCACAGAGCATATTCACTAGGAGGGGGGGCAGGGCAGGGGAGGGTCTGTGTGGCATTTCTCCTCCTGCCTCTTTGTAACTCATTAGTGTCCGTAGAGTTGTAGAGTTGACTGTGCCTGTGGGTGACCATGTGTCTATTTTTAGAATCTTTGAAAGCGTCATCTGCACGAAGGGTTGCTGTGGTATTTAGTCTCCACAAATTTATTCTCTCCATGTAGTATGTTTAACTTTTCCAGTCTTGAAAACCAAGACTCTCAGACTTCCTAAGAGGGAGCTTTGCAGGAGTGCTTTGAGAGTGAATGAGTGTGCTGTGTCTCGGTGCGCCTTCCAGATGCTAACTGTTTCTCTCCTTGCTTTTCTGCCCTCAGATGAACCGACTCCTAAGGAAGTCAGCAGGGTGAGTAACTGAACACATTTCCTACAACACCGCCCCAGGACAGAAGACACAAAGTTCCTCCCCATACATTTCCCTATTGTCTTAGCATTCAGGTGAGAAAAGTATAGCAGGATATCTTCGCCCTTTCCAGGGTGTCCCTAGGGCAGTCAGCACAGAGAGAGGCTGCACACGAAGGCCCCAGGGCTGAGTACCCAGATGAAGTGTGCCTGTACACCCTGGGTCTATATCCATGCTGGGTTGTTAGAACCAAGACTGCAGTTAGAGGTTGGATTTAGGGATTCTCCAGAGGAATCCCTGAAGGCCACACTGTACAGCATCCACCTGTGGAGGTGTCACCTAAACCCCAGCTGCAGAGACCTCTCTCAGCACTGTCCGCTCTGCAGGACGCCACAGCCTACCACTGAGCTGGTGCCCATCTGTACTGTGCCTCTGAAGATCCCCGGTTCTCCGCCCAGCCACCTCGATTACAGAGGAATCAAGGCTGATGGCTTCTGTGAAGTCAGGGTGGTGCTCAGCACCCCGAGATACTCAATGTTGTTGCCTTCTAGAGTAAGCCGGGTTAAGGGGTTTAGCCAATATAGTGAGGTGGGCAGGTGAACTGGGGGATATAGCTCAGACAATGAATTACCTCCGGTATTCACATGAGGGAGGACCTGTGTTTGGATCCCCAGCCCCCATCTTAAAAGAAAAGGCAGGGGTGGCCATATGCATCTGTAACCCTGGTGACCCTGGACATTTGAGGGACACAGGATTTAGCCATATTCTTGTTACCAGCCACGTTCCTGCCTTTCCTGTTGTGTGATTGACACTTAGAAAGACAATCCAAGCAGAACAGGGAGAGGCAGCATCAAGATGGGAAGAGATCTCAGCTCTCGGCTTCAGGACCATGCCAGTCCGTGGGCATGTCTGGGGTTCGTAGGGACAGAACACTGTAGCCATGTGCTGTTCTGCTCTTGGAAATGGGATAGTGATGGGAATGGAGTCAGTTTTTAAGTTTTTTCTAATAACATTGATTTTTCCGAGTATTTATTATGAAAGGCTTCTGTGCTCTTGAGAGGCACAGCGCCCATTAGGATCTCCGCAAACGCTGTGTTTTACTAAGCTAGCCTGGTGTGCGAGCTTCACGCTTAGCTGGCAACCATCCATTTGTGGCCTTCTTGTGGGTGTTCCTTGGCCCACCAGCCCTTCCTGTTTGTTGTCTCGTGACCCCACTGTTCTTTGTCACTCTCTAGACCCCCCAGGGCCACTGGGTGCCCTGTAAACTGTGAGTTGTGCAACAAGCTGCCCTCTGTCCTGATTGTTCCTGCTTTTGCTTAAATTACCTTTCCACCTGTACGGTTAGCCCACAATAGTCATTCACTGATGTTTGCATTCTCCTGAGAAAGCAAAACAGATGCTTCCCCAAAATCCATTGTCTGCAGGTCCTTCCTCACACAAAAGTTAGCTTTTGTCAGGTGTGTGCTAAGATGCTACTCAGTCTATGGTTGTGTGGGCAGACATTCACAAAACCTTTTAAATGTAGCCATGCACCTAGGGGCTCATTGTTTCTTTTCCCCTTTTTAATGGTCATTTACTTACAAATAGCTGTCTAGTTTCTCCAGGCCTCTTTTGGCTGCTCCAGTCTGTGGCTTACAGACTCTCCTGACAGATGAGAGAGTGAGGGACCTTCAGAGTTAAGTGACTGGGGACCTTGAGGGGACAGGGTTAGAATGTTCCCCTGGGAGTGTAACTGCCTGAGTTTTCTTGGGTAGCCAGGTAGATTGCTTTGCCAGAGTCCAGATTCCATTCTCCGGCCTTCACTTTAACCCAGCCTGGTAAAGACAGTGACTGTTGCCCCTGTTTAGTGTGTCTGTATTCTGAGGGGGAGATGATACTGACTGTCAGCCCAATCATGGGGCTGCACCAAGCTGTCTCCATAGTACACCAGGATCCTACGTCGCCATCCCTAAATTTAACCAGGATATTGTTATTTACTTAATGAGTCATTATTTTGGGAAGAGGATATTAAGAGAGCCCTAAGTGTCCCTTTTCAGTTTGGATTTATTGATCTTGAAACATAGGCAAAGTTGTCTTTAGACTTAGGGATGCCGTTACCATAGTTAGCCAGACTCACCCCTGTTCAGCTTTCTCCTTGACTCGGGTGACATGGTAAAGAAAGAGAAGGCCGTACAGTGACAACTTTAATCGCTTTACATGGGGTAGTCAGCTTCCCCTGCCTCCTTTATATACATGAAAAATCCATTACTACATTGTGGGGCTTTCTTGATGGCCCTGTTTTTGATACTTCTGGTCACTCAGTTCAGTGTCACACCGTACTATGCTGTGTGCCTGCCTTCACTGTTCTAGCAAGCGGTGTGATCTTCTGAGTGAGGCTACAGTGAGAAAGCATGGTCCCTTTCCAGAGGGAAGAACAGAGTTACAGGTGACAAGGAGTTCCCAGGTGCAGGAATAGTTGCTGACAGGGTGGGAGATCAGGGAAGGTGACCAGTCCAGGTACAACAGGTGTGCCCGGGGACCCCAAATAAGATATGGAGATTCCAGAGGGCTGAAAACAGCAGTGTGCTCTCTCAGTCTCTACTTGAGTATCAAGATTATAATTAAGGGGCTGGAGAGATGGCTCAGTGGTTAAGAGCCCTGAATGCTCTTCCAGAGGTCCTGAGTTCAATTCCCAACAATCACATGGTAGCTCACAACATCTGTAATGGAATTCAAAGCCCTGTTCAGGTGTGTCTGAAGACAGCTACACTATACTCAAATACATAAAAATAAATAATTCTTTTTTTTAAAAAAAAGTGTAATTAAGATGGTTTTGTTGATGTCATAATATTCAAATGGTTAGGTTGGCAGATGAAGACGCAACAGGTAGGTGTTTTGCTACAGCCCCGAACTAAGAGCACCCTGAATTTTACACAGAAGCAGGTGTCCTGAGAGGCTGAACTTCTTATCTTTCAGGAATAGTTTTTGACTTCACAGAAAGGATTTCCCCATTGGTCTTTAAGCCCTTCATGTCTCTTTGCTTACTTGCTATTACTTGCTAGTATTTCTTCTCTGAGATTTAATCTCTTTATTGGTGCAGAGTATAGACCTGAAGTTGGGCGGTGGAGTGTCAGGGGCAGGAAGCACACCCTGCTCCATGCTGAGGCTGCTCTTGCAAGTACCCGGTCTTTCAGAAAGTCAGTCCTCCCTGTGATAAGGTCCTCCCTCAAGGATCACATGATCAGCTGTCCAAGGGGAGTCCACAGGAAAGGACACCTCTGATTCCTTAGAACCAGCGTTAAGATGGTTGTGAGCCACCATGTGGTGTGGGAAATCGAACCCAGGTCCTGCAGAAGAGCAGCAAGTGCTCTTAACTGCTGAGCTGTCTCTGAAGCCCCTTTGGAGAGGCTTTCTAATGGATTGGCAGAAAACCTACTTATAGCTAAATAAAGCTGAGGAAGCAGGAAGGAGAGTCCTCAAGACACTGGGCTTCTCTGTGAATGGGTAGAAAATGGGGTTTTCTGTCTAGGTGGCTGTCAACTGAAGGAGGTTACCCTCAGTGTCCCCAAGGAATGGCACCAGCCCCCTTTCAGGGTAAAGTCCTCTTAGTATTGAATTTCATGAAAGTGTAAATATAAGTTAACGTGGCAGATTTTACAACTGTGCTCAGTCAATTCCAAAGCAAAGCATCAAACATGGCTGTTTTCAAGAGGGACAGCGAGCACACAGGCAGCTGGCATAGGGAGGAAGGGGAGGACCTGGAATAACTCTGCCTGCTCCAGCTGGCATGATATGAACCAGGGTAGAAGTAAGCACGTGCGTGTGATCCCAGCACACAAGAGGGCAGGAGGCCAGCCGCTACCACATAGGAAGTTTGAGCCCAGACTGGACTACCTTAGTGGTGATCTCAAGGTGACCAGAAGGAAACAACAGCAACAACAAACAAACAAACAAACAAACAATGGAAAACAAGGTGAGGCCATTAGGAGCGTGGGAAAGTGGATCCTTTTAAACTTAAGTATGCAGGTAGTGATCACTTATAAAACCTACAGCCTGGAAGTTTTACGGGTGAAATACATACACATAAGGCTCATTATGTGTGTGTGTGTGTGTGTGCACACGTGTGGACATGTACACGTGTTTATGTGTGTTTGTATATAAATGTGAGTGCATGTGTTTATGTGTTTATGTGAATGTGTTTGTGTATACATGTGTGTTTATGTGTGTATACATGTGAGTGTGTTTATGTGAGTATTTACATGTGTGTTTACATGTATGCTTATGTGTGTGTGTATGTATGTGAGTGTGTTTATGTGAGTGTGTGTGTGCCTATGTGTGTGTCTGTATCTGGATTTTCAGTTGTGTATGTGTTCCTGTGCCTCTGTGCCTCTGTGTGTGTGTGTGTGTGTGTGTCACACAGAGAGAGAGACAGAAAGAAAGGCATTAGTTATGCGGTGGCTGGCTTTATATGATTTGAGTTAATACTTATGGACAAGCAAGTGGAAGGCCAGCGAAGAACCTGTCACTTTGATAATGAACAGGTCCAGAAGACTGGGAAACTATATTAGTCACATTCCCTATTGTTGTGACGAAGTACCCAGGATAGACAACTAGAGGGAGGAGGGGCTTATTTTCCCTCACAATTTGGGGAATGATGACAGTCCATCCTGGTGGGAAAGTGTTGTAGCCAAGTGGAGCAGCTGTCGCCCTGAAGTTGAGATCGGGGAGCAGAGATGAACACGGGTGCTCAGCTCACTTTTGTGTTTGAGTCCAGCCCAGCACCCCAGCCCAAGGAGTGTTTCCGTCTGCACGTAGGGCAGGCTGTCCCACCTCAACCAATCTAATCTAGAAACTCCCTCTCAAATACGGCTCCCAGAAAGCTTGTTTCCTGGGTGCTTTCTGGATCCAGCCAAGTTGACGGCATTAACCAATGCAGCATCCAAAGAACACGTAAGAGATGCCAGGCCCCAGACAGGTAAAAGAAAATGGAAACATTCTTAACTCTGAAAATCCAATAGCTCAGTGGGTGTTTTTCTTCCACAAAGTCACTGCACCCTAATGAGGAAGAGCCCTTGGGATGCCTGCCAGGGAAGCCAGGCTTCTTACTGTCAAACTCGTGGCTTCAAAGTTGCTTCAGGCACTGGAACTTGTGAATGAAAGAAACGCTTCTTTTCCCAGGCTGCTGGCTGTGTGTTCCAGCCTTTAACTGCTGGCTATTCAGGTAGCCACTGGAGCTGGGAGCTGTGGAAACCTCCAAGGAGCTCAGCTCTGAGCACAAGGGTGTCCCCAAGTGGATTCAATATAAAAACAATTACCAGGGCAAGTCAGTGTGTCCTTCTGCTACCTGGGCACGGCTCTCAATGTTACTGGATTGGCTTGCTCCCACTTCAGGCAAAGCCCACCATATCAGCAGCGGAGTGAACACACGGACCATTTGTTGTTTCTGGCTGCATGCTGAAGGTGCTATGTAAAAGACAGGCACGACCTACGGTAGTCAGCGGGAGCCATTTACTCTGAAGCTCACTACGAAGCCACATGATAGCGAGTTCTAAAGATGGGAGCCGAACCAAACACTCCTTTTCCACAAGATTTCAAGCTGTTAACCTGTTTTACCTCGCCATTCTCGGCAGCCATAAAGCCACACCAGGGTAGAGGTATTTAAAGATATTACGACAGAAGAATTGTTTGAAGCCCAGATGCACAGCTGCTTTCGGTCTTCTGAAGCCCAGGCGGTGTGAACATTGCTATTCAACACACGTCTTTATTGTGAAGAGAGAAATATAGAAGATATCGACACTGTGCCTCGATGAATCCAGCCAGCCTCCCATTGCAGATTCTCACTAAAGTGTTTGATTTATTTGTCACAGACATGGGCTGCTTGCTCATGTTTTCTTATTTCCCCCAGCAAGCGCACACTGCTGAGAGCTTTAATCGCCAGGGACTGACACCCTGAAGCCCATATGCTAGTTTCTAGCAGTGATGTAAGCACCAGAATTGTTTGCTGTTGTCCTTGATGACTCTTAATTATCGTGTGATCCTCCTTTGCCTGAATTATTATCTGAGTAGCCCTTGGCGTCCTGTTGATCTTTTTGCCCCAAGTTAAATTAGTTCATATCCTTAAACGAACCCTTGAATTCAGTATTCTTCATTTTATTGTTTCCATTTGGCTTGCATAGAGTTGTTGGTACTACCTTTTCAGAAGGATACCCCATTTGTTTGTAGAATCCCGCCTGATTGCCTGATTCCCCCGCTCAGTGTGAATCCTCTGGGCAGTGTCTGAGGGGAGGCTGGCCTCTTCCCTGGGCTGGTGCTCTGTGTGCTCTCCTTCCACGCTGTCTTGCTTCTTCTCAAGTTTTCTCCAAACCTCTCATTCTGTTCTCAGGAGCATGCCTTGCTCCTCCACGGGGTGCACAGCGTTCCTCAGAGTCACTTTCCAAGACTGGTAGGGCAACTGCCTTTTTCCTTCTCCCAGATGTCTAGGGTAAGCCTCCTGTAATCCTGTCAGTAGCTATTCTTACCCATTCTCTGAGGTGTTGTTGAAGGCTGATTCCTGGGTCTTGCAGATGTCAGGTGAGTACTCACCACTGAACTGCCAGCCCTTCCCTGTCTGCCACTGAGAGTTTAAAATAAATGGTTGCTGGACGCCAGCCCCTCACTCCACACTATCTGTGTGGCTCCCTCCACCTCTGAGGCTGGTGAACTTCATTGGTCATTCCCAGTCAATGCTTGGTTGTAGAGTAGTTAGGATCCTCCAGCTTGTGGTGTCTGTGTGACCAAAAAAAAAAAAAAAAGTCTTTATTTATAGCTTTGCTTACTTTAAAATGTCTCAGCTGAGCTGGAGAGACAGCTCAGGCTGTAAAGTGCTTACTCTGCAGGCTGAGGATGCCAGCTCAGTCTCCAGGATCCACAGTGTAGACAAGTGCCAGACACCCGGAGGCACCACAGTGACCATTTAGTGACAGTCGAGGACACAGTAAGACTTCCTGGAGATGCCATGACATCTGTCGGGTAGGACCGGACATGCTTTGCTTTGTTTTCTGGCATTGCATCTGTTGCAAGGTGCTGTCTTCAGTGGGGTTACCCTTGATAAAGATTGTTCCACACAAGATCAGTGTGAACTGGAACTGAACAGCAGTGTGTCCATTCCCATCCCAGGGTTTGGGAAGCTATGCGGTGCCGGACTTCTTTGGCTCTTGATTACAAGCTATCTTAAAGGGCTGTCACTTGACACTCACATGGACTTTATGAAGTGTTTAAAGTTTTGAAGATGGTTACAGTGTGTCTCCCTGTCACAGAGACAATAGTCCATGATAAGAAGTCCATCCATGTCCCAGGATCTCTCTCTCACTTCTCTCTCTCTCTCTCTCTCTCTCTCTGTGTGTGTGTGTGTGTGTGTGTGTGTGTGTGTGTAACTGCTGGGTGTTGACCTCACTGGGAACAGACTGTTATTAAAGGGTTATTGCCAGACTGTGAGAAAGGACTCAATGTGGAGACATTTGTAACAGATCTCAGCTACTCATGTGTCTACTTGCTGACTCTCCCCCTACTCCTGAGACACACAAGAATGTGTTTGCTTATGGAAGAGAAACACCCAAAGCCAGAGACTCAGCTCAATGGTAGAGCACTTGTCTGGCAAATGTGGGGGTCAGGGTTCAGTTTCCAGAATTCACACCCCCACACAAAATCCCACAAAATAAACCCCACACATCTAGCACAGCTTTTGACATGGTTGTCTTCTCTCTGCTCTGCTTTCCTCCTGGTCAGTGTGAGTCTCAGATAAGCATGTTGCAGGACTTGGGAGACCTCAGAGTCAGCAGAGACTCGGTTGGCAGTAGAGAAGGGCGGTTAAGACAGTCCAATATTCTATGGAGCCCTTCAGAACAATTCACAAAGGAGCCTTCTCAGGCTGTAACCTGCACAGTGCTGTTCTGCTGGCTCTGGGATTTGAACTGCCTGTGAGTCTATTTTGTCACCACACTGGTGCCTTTGTGAAATGGGAGTCTCGAAAAGTCTCAGGCTAGAACACAGCTAGGGAGTAATGGCAGTCTGTTCCTTCTACCAAACGCAGCAATAAATCACCACAGACACAGTCCAGTGACCAGCGGTCCTGTAGTTTTGCTAATTTCTTCACAAATAATTATCGAGGTAGGAAGCTGCAGGCTTGTGGGGAAGGAGGGAGAAAGTCTGCCTTGTACATTTGTTAGCTGTATGTCAAGGTCCTTGCTCCCCTGGGCCTGGCTTCTCCAATTCTTATCTTAAAAGTCTCAAGCCTGTAAGCTGGCTTCCCCCAAGATTTCATTGACAAGTCTGGTGTGGTGATCGCATCAGGTTTCTACCTGCTCTCCCAGAACTTATGGTTAAAGACCTGAAAGCATGCCAGAGGGCTGTCCCTTTGTTAGGGCAGGTTACACCTGATTGTCTGACCGGAACTTCAGCACTCTGCAGATCAGACCATTCTGGTTACAGCTTTGATTTTTTTCCGTTGTAGGGATACCAATCTCCTCATTTCTGGACAGTGAATGCAGGCAGTTGACCCCCTGCCATCCTGAGGTTTAAGTTGTGGGTGACATCAGAGAGTAATGTCAGATGGCAGTGGTATTCATGCTTGTTCTGGGCTCCAAGCATGGACAGCCATAAGCCATGGCCTGGGGTGGCAACCCAGCCTCTATCATCGCTGACTGTGACTCACTAGTCCCGCTGTCTCTGACCTTTAATCAGGAAAGTGCTGGTGTTCGCTAAGCACCGTGTGGCCCAAGTGGCCTGCGGAGGGGCTCACTGGGAACCCTCTGCTCTGCACTTGGAACAGGCACTGACATTCTTCCATTAGAGTGTGAGCACCAGAGGGACTGTGTTCACTAGTGTGGGATGAGTGATCGATGGAATCCCCGGCTCCCTCCACAGACACGTTTTACACAGGGCAGTTGTTATGAAAAGGGTCAGATCTTTAGAATGAGAGATTCCTGGGTTGCCCAGAAACAGAGGCGTCGTCAAAGCCAAGACCCTGAGTGTGCAGGAATGGGGAAGTACAGACCGAATCCCTGATGAACAGTAGCCTTGTTCTCTGGAGGGGCTGGTCTGTTTTCTCAATGAAGTTAGAAGCCTGGGAAAGGTTTTCAGCTGAGGAGTAAGCGAATTTTGTTTTATTTTTAGCACACAGTGTTTGCTACTTGGAAAATAGGGTTTGTAAGGCAAGCATGGGGCAGGGATATCAGTGAGAGGCTTTGACATCTGTTCTTTAGAGAGGGACAGTGTGGTCTGACTGAGGCAGGGTCAGTTGAGCACCCTGGGCACCCTTCCCGATGGTATGACAGGGACTCCTGTGTGTGCTTCCGGGGACTGCCACTTCAGAGCACACTGTTCACCTGCTCTGCAGGGACCTGAATGCTCACCTGCTCTGCAGGGACTTGAGCTCAGGGACTTGAGCTCACGGGAGGTATTTCACTCAGCATCCTCTCCAAGGAGAGCTGCCACCTTTTCCCCTGGTGACCCTTGAACTCTTTTACCAGGCAAGCTGTCATTGTGTATAAAAGTTGTAATCTATAACATTTGCTGTGTTTATATAAATAAGTGGACACAGATGCAGTTTGAGGATAATCCTAGGTGGGGGTGGGGAGGGATCACAGACAGTTTAGTTTTCCGCCTCCCTGTTTTACAAGTGGATTGTGCTGCTTAAACACGCCCTGGCAACAGCCCACAGCCTGAGACCAAAGCTGTAAAAACAGTGTGCCCTGCAGACCGAGGGATTTTATCCATACATTAAGTGGGCCTGACTTCTGTCATCTTTGTGTTAAAGTACCAGGATACGAACATGCAGGGAGTCGTGTACGAGCTGAACAGCTACATAGAGCAGCGGCTGGACACCGGCGGGGACAACCACCTGCTCCTCTACGAGCTGAGCAGTATCATCAGGATAGGTAAGGCGGAGCCTGCGCTCACCCTCAGGGCAGGTCACTTTACAAAAGGTGACAAGAGGCCTCTGCCATCCCGGGAATGGGACTCTTCATCACCTTCCATTGCTGGGCTCGGTCTGAAGTGGAAGCATCTGAGTAGGAAGCTATCCGAGTAAATAAACCCCCAATTTTCCAAATTACCTGAGATAAAATAAGTGCCACACGCCTGCTGTAAGTGGTGCCCAGCTAGGGACTGGCACCTGCTTTTCTCTGTCATGAATCAACAGCATCCTCAGAAAGGAAGATGTTAGGTTTTTAGATTAACGTTTTAATTTATTCTTTGAGGAATTTAGTACAGTGAATTCTGAACAAGCGTATTGCCCTCTTCCAGCTCCTCCCAGCTCCTCCCCAATCTCCCCGTCCACCCAGCTTAGTGTCCTGGCTTTCTCTTAAAAGAAGCCGTTCATTTTGAACTTATTAGTCTAGACAGCGTTTTTATGTAGTTTGCCAAAAGAGCTTGTGTTGTAGACATGGACAGGAGGAGCTGGACCGTCCCTCAGACATGGAGCTTTGGCCTGTCTGCCATGACCCGGAGAGTACAGACATCCCCAAGAGCTGCACACCAGTGTCTGTCAAGACTTCCCGTGCACCAGGCATGCTGCATGTTCCCGCAGGCCGGGCTACTTGGCCACCATCACCATGCGGTTGCCACCTCACTGTTTTGGTAATAAAAAGGCTTCAGGTGAACCAGGCTAGATGCCCGCCCACATCGGCACAGAGCCAAGTGAGGTACAGGGAGTTCCCAGGACTTGCAGTGTTTGTTATGATTATTGCCTTGGGATGATCTGGAAGAAACACCTAAGTTAAAATCTGTTCACTTCAGTGTTATGTGTATATTTACACAATGTGGGTTTTTTTTTTTTGGTGGGTACTTATTTAATTGTTTAGTATTCTTGTGGGGGTTTTCTTACACTCAAAAATTAAATGTGGTGCCCCTCTGCCATTGTGAGGGTCGAAGCCCCCACAGATGCCTCTGTATGAGGTGTGCAGCCTCTTGTGTGCACTGGAGGATGCTGTGAAAATATTTGCCGTCAGCGGTAAAGACTGGGAACCTTCTGAGCAAAGCCACACATTATACTGTTCTGTTTATGGGCATCGGTTATGTTAACCAATCCACGCAAAGACTGGTGCCCAAGTCTCGCTGTAGAATCTGTGATGTTATATTCTTCCATTGAGATTAGTTTCTTCCTTCTTTTTATTGCTTTGGCAGCCACAAAAGCCGACGGATTTGCACTGTACTTCCTTGGCGAGTGCAATAATGTAAGTATCTATAGATAGACTTTGGTGCTCTAGAAAAGAAAGTCTCGCAAGCTCTCTAAGAACCGACTGTGCTGCAAACAGTGGGCGTGTCATAATGAGTACCCCAAGGCCTGCTTGTACTTGGGCTGTACCAACAGCTATGGCCTGCTAGTAACTGGCCAGAGGCACACAGGCCTATCACGCAATTGATTTCGTATCTTTGCTGTGGTTTATGGCGTCCCGTTCTGTGTGTGGTATTTCTAGAATGTGTGTTTCTTATAAAAGTTAGCCCTGTGAAGCCATGAAAGGAAGCCTGTATCCTTTCTGCACTTCATCTGCCACAGAGTGAATAAGAACAAAAGGTTAGGATTGTGTGATTTTTCTGAGGGGTCTGCAAGGTGAGTCTGCTAAGAGCTCTGGGGTGGGGCTGTTAAGCCTGGGTCAGGGTCTCTGCCTCTATGGCTGTCCCTGGATTTCTGGGATGTGATACAGCCCATGGTCACATGCCACACACACGTGCTATGCCATCCCAGTAATCTTAATACTTTTACTATAACATAGTTTATTCATGAGCTCATGCGGTACATGGACGGACCGCTTCTGTGAGGTAGACAACGCCATTGTGATTCATGGTGTGGATTTGCTGTATGATTCCTGTGTTCTTGAGTAGCTAACTAAGTAGTATTGGTGTTATTGAGCATGTTAACAGAGAAGGCTCTGAGATCTATAAGGCGCTATCCCTGAAATAACACAACAATGCAAAGAAAGCCATACAAATCTTGGCTGGTTGACTTGCCTCCTAGCACTTGGAGCACTGGAACAATATCCCAGTCATCATTCACCCATGTGACGTAACAGCTTACCAAGGTCTTTCTTCCTGACATCAAAGCTCATATAGGGTAAGGACCTTTGCTATCTCCAGCACCTCCCGAGGTGCCCTTCAAAGGAGCAGCCAGACAAGAATGTCTATTAAAGTACATTATACAGACCTGAGTCCATTTCCGAATGCTCGAAACTGTACCACAGACTGTGGCGTTTAAGATGGATAATCCATGAATATAGAAAGCTGTAGTTTTTCCTGCTTTGTTTCTAAACGTTGTGGGGATAGTCTTTAATTTAAAATTGATTTTTAACTGACACACAAACAGAGTGAGCATGTCAGTGAGGTGTACCATGGGAACCCGAGTCAGGGGGCTGTGTCTGCACTCAGAAACATTCACCACATGTTTATAGTGAATACAGTCCCTTCCTGTAGCTTTCTATGGTGTGTCGCACTGTGCCACGGCACCCCACTCCTGGTCTTGTGTACTCAGGCCACTGACCAGACCGGCCTCCTCTCCACACACACACACACACACACACACACACACACACACATGCACACACTCTCCCAGCTTCTGATGAACACCATCCTATCGAAACTTCTAGAAGATCGTGAGTTGTCAGATCCCTCACGAGCCGCAAAACACCTGTCTTTCCACACCTGCTCATGTGAGGATTCCTGGTAGAAAACTATTATAGAACACCGTCCATTTGCTTCTGCACACGGCTTGTGTGTGTGTGTGTGTGTGACCACAGTGTGCTCACGGGGCCCGTATCTTGTCACTCCCCTGGGATGGCTTTCATCACAAGGCCGCCTCTGCAGCTGTGTACAGTGTCTAGGAGGATGTCTGCAGAGATCAGGTGCACAGGTGACTCAAGCGGGGACTCGGTCTCCTCTCTCCTAAAACATGTTGGGTCCTCAACATGTTGCCAGCCTGTTTACCCAAACAGTGTGATGGGGTGGACTAATGCTCCATGGCCAACATGCAAGCCACAGGGAGGCTGACTTAGATTCCCACATTCCTCTGTTCGGTCACATGGTTGTTACTGACTCCATGATTAGCCTTCTCAGAGACTACTTGGAAAAGCTTCCTAGTGTGTGCAGCTTTCTATGCATCATTCTGAATCTCTTTTCTCTCAGTCTTACTAAGTGCTGGTATCAGTCCCTCCCTGTCTCTGCTTGGGCAGGCTCACACACACGATTCACACCTCCTCTCCCTCCCGCACCACAGAGACTCGTGCTGAGTGTGGCTTCGTCTCTCTGGGAGCTTCAGAATGTGTAGCCAGAGTGTAGCCTTCTCTCATATAAAATCAGTTTTTCCTGACTCTTGTTTTAAACCTTGAATCTTGTGTTCGCTTTCCCCCATCCTGGAGTCTGCCATGTTTGTGAACATTTGCTCGCCTGATGTTTTCCTGGAACAAAAGTTTCATTTAGGCAGAAACTTTTATCTGCCTGGCAGGAATCTCCAGGGACACAAGGACTATGTCCCCTGATTTCCCAGGGCCTTCTAGGTAGGGATTGTCTCCTTCACCCAGGGGCCCTTGTCCCTAGGGAATGACCTTGCTCTGACCTCCAGGTGCTCTCTTTCCTTCCCTGCCATCTCTCTTTGACCTCAGCCTTCCCCCTGGAGTCGTCCTGACCAGTGGGAACTGCCGGGTTTTGTTTGTCTGAATGTGTCTCATTTTACCTACTTCCTTCAGTGACATAGTTGCTGTACAGTGAGCTCAGATGGATGGATTTCTGACTCTTAAAGTCAACAAAGGTACCGGTGTTTTCCTGTCTTTTTGGTCCACCATCCTCCTGCAGTGGTTTTTATCCCTAGCTGGGGTTAAGTTCACCTTCAACGTCTTTCAGTTTTACTCCCTGATGTTTGTGTCCATTCATCTTCTTTCCGAATTGTTTCCAAATTGTTTCTTGCTCCTTTGTTCACGGCCCCTCTCCAGACCTGACTTACCTGCTCCTGTTCCATGTGCCCCACCCCTTCTTTTGTGCATGGTGGGGAGCCCCCACCTCTCCTTTCCTGTACTCTCCAGTGAGAGCTGGGAATTGTTTCTGCTGGGCCACTTAACTACACTATCTGGTGAGATCCTTGAAGTAGACGAAACCTGGAACTCCCTGGTACCTCTGCAGGAAAGGGCAGGAGCCCAGGAGACCTGCTTTACTTAGTCCTCTTGGGAGGTGGATGGATCTCAGCTTTATTGATACCAAGAAAAGGGCAGCCGTGAGCTTTGTTTTTACCTCTCAGAAGTTCTTGTTAACTTCATTTTAGGTTTCTGGGGTGGGAGAACTCTTTCCATTATTCTCAGCCCACTGATGCATCACAAAAAAATAAAAGGGCTGGAGAGATGGCTTCCTTCAATAAGGAACATTCCTGTTCTTCTAGAAGACCTGGTTCAATTCCCAGCACCCACACTGGGTGGCTTACAAACACCTGTAACTCTGGTCCCAGTGGATCTGATGCCTTCCTGGCCTCTACAGGCATACATGCATATGTACGTGCATGCACACACACATTTGTATAGATACACATATGTGTTAAGTGAAAAAAAAACCACGAAAATATATAATACATTTCTTTAGCTTCTACAATCGAGTCAAACTTTTCTACAAGTGTAATTCTTCTGTCTGATCCCTCTTAGAACCGAGGCTGATGTTTCTGAAAGGCGATGGGCCCCACTGCAGCAGAACTTGCTTTCTGTGGGGAAAGTGACGCTGTTGCCACCACATGTGCTCATGCAACCCATTTGTTCATGAGACACGGAGCCACTCACTGCGCTTGAGGAGAGTGTTTTGTTAATTTCAAAAAATGATGTCTTTGTTTAAGAGCTCCATACATGCGTGTAACTTCATACATGTGTATAACTTTATATGTGTGTATAATCCACTCCCCTGTCTTTCCCTCCATTTTTTCTTCCACCTTCTCAGTACCATCCCTTCCCAATGTTGTGTACGTTTTACTTAGTGTGTACATATGACAACCTGCTGGAGCTGGATAGATTCTCCATCACCCAACATCCATCAGCTGCTAGTGGACCCTCAGCAGGTGGATGGGCTCTCATGATCCACCACCCACTCTGTGCACACTTGAATTGTTGCTGACTTGATCCCTTGCTGCAGATCCTGTGCACACAGTCATAGTTATTTGTTTGTTCGCAAGGCATTGTCATGTCCAGCAAGTGCTGTTGGGCTATCGCTGTCGTTTCCCTCCAGCCTTGACAGTCTTTCTGCCTCCCCATATCCCCTGCTGCTGCAATGGCCCCTAAGGCTCAGGGATCCGGTATGTGACACGGCTGTCTCACTTAGTGCAGAGAGTTCCACAGTCTCTCATTCTCAGTGTATCGGCAAGTCGAGGGCCTCTGTTTTCATTGTTCCCTGCTGTAAAAAGAAGCTTATTTGATGGTGGTTGATAGATGTACCAACCTTGAGGTTTAAGGAAAAGCACTGAGGGAGTGCATCGGTATCTCCATTTAGCAGAATGGTAGCATTAGGTTCCCCCTAGGGCCTATGACCTGGCCACTCTTATGTTTTTTGACCAAGTAACAATAGCAGGAGTGAGTTCTTCGTGTGGAATGTGTGTCAGGTCCAATCAGAAAGTGGTGGGTTAACTCCTATTTATGACACTTGCACCAGTGAGCATACATTGCCAGGGCTATTGTTAGTGTATTTCCCAGGGTTTATGCTTAGTTAAGACTGTTGGCTATTTTTCTCTCCCAGTAGAGCACATAGCATCTTCTAGCACTATGAAAGCTAGCCTGTGGGAATGAGACTTCTACACTAAGAGCAACATGTACCTATGACTGAAGTATGCGGTGGTGTTTGTTTGTTTGTTTGTTTGTTACAGCAGTAGGGCCTTACAGTCAAGTTTCAGGGTATAACCAAAGCAGCGGCAAGAGCCTATAATGTCTGGGGGTCTAGGACCTCACTGGCCAACAATTCCAAAAGAGTTAACCCATTTCTGGCACTGAGCCTTTCATTTGAATCAGTATATGTAAGCTTCTACGTAGACAGACTCAAGGAGAGAAACCACTGGTTTCTCATCTCATTAGATACAGAAAAGGCTTTTGACAAAATCCAACATCCCTTCATGGTAAAAAAAAATAGTCTCAAAGAGACTAGGGATTTGAAAGACATACATCAACATAATAAAGGCAATATATAACAAACCACAGCCACAATCATGCTGAACGGGGAAGAGCTT